ATAAAATTGTTTCCTAAAAACTGCCTACTATTACATTTCTCAGTCAATCTGAATATCTTCTGTGCATTGTCCCTGCCATCCTGCCACTCACTCGGCAGCCCACTGGCACCTCTAGTAGTTTCTAGAAGTGTCACTCATGACATTAATGCACAGACATCCTCCCCTAGATATCCTAAGGGCACCACAAACTTATATACACATATCTAAAATTAACTTCATTATAACTTCCACAATCTTCCTCCAAACTTTGCTTGCCTCCTCTTTGTAACTTCAGTGTGTTATACTCATCTACCTTCTCTCCCAAGATACATGAATGAGAAATGCCTTTTCCATTCTTCTAGCCAATAGAAGAGCAAGTATCATTAATTCTACCATTTCCACAATTTCCACTACTCCCTGAATTTTGTATTACTAAATTGTCCACTAATCCTGAAAGGTACTGCTGCTGTGTTTACTATCATTATCCATATCTTAAGTAATATAATTTCCCTAATAGTTTGGATTCAAGCTTCTCCTTCATTTATTTAGGTTAAAAATTAACCCTAAGGGGATTCAGATAAGTAATCAATCTCATCACACTAACTCTCTCACTCTTAAAAGTTTTCCTTGAGTCTCATGTAGGCAAAAAGAGCCAGACTTTTTATTCAAGTTGAAATTCATCTAATTGGTGGTTTATATTTTTCAAGTATTATCTTCTATTCACAAAACTAGTGAACTCTACTGCAACTACTTGAACAACTGTTTTCTTCCACTTAAAATGGCCCATTCAATTGTTAAATTGTCTGTGTTGTTTCCCTGGCAAAAACTTCCTCAGGGAAAAGCAACCCACTTCAAATTAACTGTCACTTCCAAGAAGCTCACATTCTGATGTTGTCTGCTCACTCCACTCTCATGTCTCTGAAACTCTACTTCTTTTGTATCTCACAACCTTTATTTTTTGCCTTCTTTAGGTTATATATCAATTTAGATATTGGACACCAATCAACACCATCCCTTTTTCTATGTCACTATATATATATATATATATATATATATATATATATACACATATATACGTATATATATATAATGTTATTACTATAGGCATGTATATTTGTGTAAATGAGGGTGAAAATGGGCAGTGGTGACTCACACCTATAATCCTAAGGAGGCTCTAATCTTCTCCAGTCAACCAGCACAATGCTGGAAGGTTGGGTCAGTGTTAGAGCTCCACTTAGAACAGAAGAGTTCAAGTGCCAGTACCTGACAAAACAAACAAACAAGAATGAGAATGAAGCAAATGGGTTCAGAAGAAGAGTAGAGTACTCAAGATAACTATGTAACCCAAGCTTTACTAAAAGTTAGTAACATCCTCTTGGGGATCCAGTGGTGGCTGCTGGGATATGCTTACTTTGAGAAAAACTTGAGCACAGTTAGGTTTTGGAACTTTGATGTGCTAATGTTTTACCCCAGTAAAAATTTAACAACCAAATTCTCACTGCATAAAAGCCTTTGGCAATCACATAGAAAAATAACTTCTTCTATACAGTCTTTCTCCACTAAACCCTCCCCCACATTCTCCCAGGAACTTTTGGCCACAAAGTATACTCCTTTCTTCTTTGTAACTTTTATAACTTCATTTCTCAATGTTTTCTCATACCAAAATAAACTCTCATGTCTGCATTTCATCTATTTATTCATTTTGTTTTTCCTTTGCCTTTGAGGATTGGTTGGTTGCTCATTTTTTTTATTTTAAATTTTTATTTATTTTTTATTGTGAAAATACTGTACAGAGGGGTTACAATTACATGGGCAAGATAATGAGTACATTTCTTATCAAGCATTGTAGCCTCCTCCTTTGTTTCCTTGCTCATTTTTTGAACCAAAAGTTACTGATAAAGTCACTTTGCAACACTAAGTGTCATTTATCCCAGAGAAAACAAGGCATATCCAAAGACTCTGAAGCAGTCACAAGCAATAGATCAACACATAAATAAATACAATTATTCATATCCTTTTACCATCATGAAAATATTTAGGGTCATTTTTCTTTATAATACCTTAAACTTCTCTGCTTTCTAAAATCTTAGCAGAATGATTTGTATTTATAGAAAATATTGCACAGATGGTTTTAGACAAACATGACCACATTACTCTGAACCTCAGGTAATTTTACAATGGCTAGACTTGTGGATTTCATTCCTGGGCCTGAAATTTTATGGCATTAAACATTCGCAGTGTATAGTGCATAGCTGTTGTGGTTAACAAATTATAAATTAGGTTTAAAAATTATTGAAATTAAGCCGGGCACCGGTGGCTCATGCCTGTAATCCTAGCTATGGAAGAGGCTGAGATCTGAGGATCACGGTTCAAAGCCAGCCTAGGTAAGAAAAATCCATGAGACTCTTATCTCCAATAAACCACTAGAAAACCGGAAGTAGTACTGTGGCTCAAGCGATAGAGCGCTGGCCTTAAGTTCCTATCTCCATTTGAACACCAAAATGCCAGATTCAAGTGGTAGAGAACTAGCTTTGAGTAAAAATGCTCAGGGACAGCTCCTAGGCTTTGAGTTCAAGTCCAGGGTTGGTACAGACCCACCCCCACCCACCCACCCACCCCCACACACCCACTTATACATGTATACACACACCCATGCATGCACATGAAAACAATAGCTAGGTATAATGGCCCTAGCCAGTATTCCCAGCTACTCAGGAGGCTGAGACAGAAGGATCATGTTCTTCCTGTGACTCATAGATGCCCACTCTGGGCATCTTAGATTCTGCTTCAAAATCAAAATTAAACAGGGCTGGGGACATAATGCAGTGATATTATACTTGCCTAGTATGGAAAAGCTCTAGGTTTGATCCTCAATATTATGTGTACAAGTGTACACACTCTCACCCACATAGAAATATAATAATTTTACTTTCTTCTTGAGAAGAATAACAGGTATTACACATCAAGTGTCCATTATTATATGTCAAACACCACCTGCTTTCAGAGAAGATTCCAAGGAAGGATGAGAATGCCTTCCTTTACCACGGAAAGAATGATGAGTATTTCAACTCAGATGGACATGAGCTGTAGCAGCAGCCTTAAAGGAAGTTGTTACATGACAGTTTCCATAGAAACAATATTTCCACAGAAATCAGAGTCCATCAAGACTAAGCAAAACCTCCAGCAAAGGAAAAGAGAAACAAGAAATCCTTTAAGAAAGAAGGCATTTCAAATACAAAGGAGTGAGGGAAGTGCATTAAAACTATTAATGAGAAATCATAGTAGCCAAAACAGATTCTTAAAATTGGAGAAGTAGTTTAGTGGAAAAATGGGAAGATGTCAAAGTATCCTAATATATACTAGGATTACAGCTATCTGACTGTTTGCTTCTTAAGTTCTTGTAAATCAAGTAATCGTAAATCAAGTCATTTGTGTATTTAATTATTTCTCAACATCTTTATGTATTAGATACATTTATTTCTATTGGAAAGTGAGAAGGTTATGATTCCTGGGCATAAGTAATTCTTCAAAAATCAGATAGCTTCTAATCAAAACTGTATCCCACATTCTATCCTGCTATGGACCCCATCTTACTGAGGCATACTTTCTGTCAGTTAAAATTCCTTGGTAATTTTTAAGATTACTTTTGCTAGTAATCATGTATTTGGTAATATAAAAATACATTGGAGATGTCAAAGCTTTTTGATTTTGACTGGATGCTTATGGATGGTGAAAATGTCTAGAATATTCTTGTTTTTGCAGTAAAATAATCAGAACATGGGGACAGATGAGCTTGGAAAAATCTCTTAAACACATGTTGGTGAGGGGTTCTCATCCACCACCCTTCACAAACTGGATTGATTCAAATGTGAAAAATTAGCTACCAAAACTTGAACTTCTGAAACATATACCATAGTATTATTTATGCTCACACTTAGAAATGTGAAACTAAAATCTAAAAACAAAGGAACTGAATAACTATTTGAAGATTTCGGACAAGAGATGACAAGAAATTAAGGAAGAAGCAGGCACACTCTCCCTGTGGGCGTCTGGATTTTCTGAGTTTCAGTGGCTAGCATGCAGCCACGACTCCAGTTTCCCTCTGCTATTGCACTATACAGATGGGACTGATTATATTGCTACATTTTTTATTTAATCAAACAAAGACATTAGATTATACTCAAAACTCACCACTTACTAGTTCCATCATTTCTGGAAAGAATGTGGTGGGATGAGTGTCAACAAATCTCTTATTAATTTTAATAAAACTAAATCTTTTCAGAATTTACATATATATCAGTGTCATGTTTTCCTAGCCACTTGAGTTAAATTCTTTTAGGATGTGCCAGATTTTACACTAACCACCTTCTTGCTGACAACACTAAAATGCAATTTTTGTTGTCCTGACTGTTGCCCATCCTAGACCCCAAACTTTTGAATCAGGACTAATTAGTACCCTGAACACAAAGTTTTGTTAATAACTGAATGAGTAACTCTGCTTAAGTTATGATTCTTGAAACAACATAATGATGTATAGCAAAAATCATGCTATTTCCAGGTTTATTTATGTAAGATGGAGTTGTTGAATCAGTCTTTATGTATTCTTCTATTTACTGTTTGAATATATATGATGCCATTATTATGGGTTTTTGCTATGCTAACTGGCCAAAATTATAGAAAGGAGTACAATGTAATCACTATCTTCAAAAATGTCAAGAGCAGTTCTATTCTGAGCTCATATGTTTCTTTTAACACAATGCCCTACAGAAACACATCCAACTTTTTTTATTGGTATAAATAGAAAGAAATTAGTCATATTAAATCTCAACAGAGTAAACACTTGATGAGATATATCTTTCTTGTTGAGAATAAAACCTGTTTATCACCATTAAGTGTCAATACCTATTTATTTATATGAGTCCTCTTCTCTAACAAATTACACCCATTATTCCCATGACACAACTCATGTAAATTGCAATGGTAGTGTTATGCACTTGAAATGAAGTAATGAGTCCGCTTACTATTGCAAGTCTTGTTATATTTGCTGTTCTCCTGTGCAAACCCTTCCAGACGGCACTGAAAACGATGCTGCCAGAATTCTTGAAACCAAGGGTTTCGAAGGTTTGTTTCTGGCCGGAGTTTCAGGTAATAGTCATCAAACCACTTGACGTCAGGAGACTGGAGCTTGATTGTGATTCCACCAACAGCTTCTCGCTGATACCCATCTGTCACGTCATACCTGTCAGCCCAGCCATCACTGCAGAGAAACACAAAAACCTCCTCTTAGAACAGAAATTTTCTGAGGAAATGAGCTTTTGGCTTGGCACTTTTTTTTTAGCTTGAAATATTAGTCATAAAACTGCTACTTCAGACTGTACTCTAGGTGAGAGTTAAGACAGCAGATTATTAAAATTAAAAAGCAATACCACAATTAAGATTTCAGGAGACTGGAAGGCAGTAAACTTACTTGAACTGCAGAAAATAAGCTTGAGCTTTTGAAAAATTCTACTGGTTGCAAAATACAATGCATGAGCTAGGCACTGATGACCCACACCTGTAATCCTAGCTACCCAAGAGGATCTGAGGATCTGAGCCTCTTGAGTAGCTTATCTCCAATTAAACACCAAAAAACTGAAAGTGGAGCAGTGACTCAAATGGTAGAGTGCTGCCCTTGGACAATAAAGCTAAAGGACACTGACCACAGCCTGAGTTCAAATGCTAGCACTGGCACACACTTCTAATACCACAATTCATAGTTTTTACTGGCTGTTTAGTACCTAGGTCAAGTTAGCTTTCAATATATTCTTTTCTATTTATTTATTTATTATTTATTATTTTGTTGCCAGACCTGGGACTTGAAGCCAGGTCCATGGTGCTATCCCTGTGTCACTGGAACCCAGCTTTCTTTTTTATTTTACTTTTAAAGTAAATTTTAGGTGAATTATAGTGAGAAAACATTTCTATATCAGGTATAACATTAATTTGCTCCTCATATGACATAATACTTATTTTTGTTTATATTATAGAAGAGAATTAGACAAGGTTAAAAAGAAATCGACCTGATTATAGTCCTTCTATTATAGGCTGATTTTTCAAAGCCTCAAACAGAAGTATTTATAGTCCACAACCCATATATTCTTTCTTATCCTCCAATGTAATTAATATATATATATATATATATATATATATTTAAAATTGTAGTAGATTATTTGAAAGGACATCTTTACAATGAGACATCAAGGATGATGACTGGGTCATACCCCAGAATTACTGTCATTCACTCAAAGGAGTAATTTAGGAATTTTAAAACAAAAGTTGAAATCATATAAATTTTGTCTTGGAATAAGAGAGTCTAAGAGCATAAGGAAAAGTATTCTAAGCTTATGGCAAAATTCATGAAACATAACTCTGAAAATAAAACATACAAAAATATATTTAATTTTGAAAATGAACTATACAACTGATGGGGGAGGAGCAGGGAGGGAAAATGTGCGAGAAAACAAGGGAAAATGTGACACTGTTTAAAAAGAAATGACTTATATAACTATAACCTTTCTGGACCTCACCGTTAAATAACAATCAAAAATAAATTAATTAAGAATACATGTTTAAATTAAATTTGGATACACTCCATGTCATGCAGGAAAAGTCTCTGATTTGCTCATCTGCTCTCCACCTGGGAAATATAAAAACTTTTTGCCTGGTTTCAGAGATGTTGACCTTCTATCAAAGATATGTACATTCTCTAAAGAAATGTTCTAAAAGTATAAAGAAAATGAAGAGACATTGTAACAATTACGAACATTTAACACTAAAGAAGTTCAAAAGGAATGAGGCTTGGTGGCTCCTGAGTGCACTCAGGAAGTTTGAACCTGAGCTGGTGAGTGGAGAGGGAGTGGGAACTGGGCACAGGTTAAGATTTGCATTATTGATCATTGTTTATCTTCATCAGAATGCATTTTTATCCTTAAACTTTCCCTTTTAGGCAGAAAACATAATCTAATATTTTAAGTATAAAAATCTATACTAGGGAGAGTAATATATGAGCAAATAACACAAAACAGAGCACTTTTTTTTCAGTATGCTCTGCTTACGGTATCTGAGTTAAAAAGTGGTAATTAGGAGTTGTTCCAAAGGTTATAGATTTCTCATTAAAGTACTCTAGAGGTTGGTGGTGATGAGAACATTTTAAGGCATCAGTGGGCAGGAGAGGAGAAAGAGAAATAAACAAAATGAACCATTTGTTTCTTCAAAGTTTCCTTGACATGAGAGCTCATTAAAAGTTATCTATGGTGAAATTTGAAAAAAAGAAATGTGGCAGATTAGGGGAAAAAATGCCATGCAATATGTTTTGTCCCAATGTTGAATTCAGTTATTTCACACATTATCTTCCCTCAAGTTTCTCGTTTTCAGCTCCAGAGATTTTTATTTAAAGCTGACAAGTTGAAATGAAGTGGGCTAGTTTGCCTCGTCTTCCCTGTGTTGTGGAGGTTTGTTATATCACTGGAATGAGAGTATAGGTCTCACTGGCCTCCAGGGGATGCATGGGCGTTCTACTAATGGGACAGGAAGCTATGTTTGTCAAGTACTTAGGAAGTGGAAATTTAAATGGTTCTTTTTGTTAATGTAGCTCACACTTATGTAATGCTCTGATTATGAATATTACATAAGGGATGGAAGATTATAATAGGTCCAATTTACCCTTCACCATTCATTGAATTTAATAGGGATTGTAAAAATCTTTTCTTGATCAACTAACTTATATGCAGGTAATATTTGCATAGAAAAGGTGTCAGGCCTAGAGAATGTGAATTTACTCATCAGTGTGCTTATTTCATATTCTATACCTTTGATTTCTTAAAGTATCTCTAAGTTTAAAAAGTTACAAAAAGATGTTTTATTATTTGCCTTCTAAGTTTGGGTTGGAAGTTTAAAATAATCATTGTTTTAGACACAGTTGACAAAATAATAAAAACTACAAAAGAATAATTATATCACTGGATACTATATTCAAAATGAACTATACAACTGGGAGACAGCAAGGGAAGGGGTGACATTGTCCAAAAAGTAATGTATTCTTTATCTGACTTCTGTAATTGTAAGCCCTCTGTACATGATCTATAATAACAATATAACTTTTCAAAAAGAATCATGTGTCAAAACAGGATGATTCTTTTAAAACTTATTCAGAGTATTTGTAGTGTAAAGATCATTGGATGCTGGCTAAATTAAAAAACACTGTATTGACTCTAAGTAATTTAGTTAAGATTATTATAAATATGTATTTAAAGCTTTGTTTAAAGTGTTAGAGCATCTCTATGTAAAGGATTAATACTACAAATGTGAAATAAAATGCTAAGGAAAACTTAAATTTATATTCTACCACCTAACACTTTCCATTGACCCTTCATTATGTTGGCACTATTATATGTTAAATGACACATATTTTAACAAAGCAAAGGAGAAGGGGAGGGAGATAGGGAAAGAAAGTAACATTTGTTGAAAACTTAAGGCATTTTTCTGGATTCCATCCATCCATCCATCCAACCATTTGTATCCTTCCATCAATTCATCCATATAATTTATCTTTCTTTTCACTAGTGTGCATCTTGGTTAACTCCTGATGGTTGGTTTCATACTTTTCTTTCCAATTTTCTATGCATGGTAGACTATGAGTATTTGTAGACTATTCACAGATTCAGAAATCAGGGTGTAGTTCATCAATACAACACTTGCCTTGCACATACAGAACTCTGAGTTTGAGTTTCAGCATCACAAAAGTAATATTTGCAAAAGTTTATTTTGCAAATATTTGCCCAAAGTTTATTTGCAAGATCCAAATCAGTTCTGGTTTTCAGTTACTCAAAGAGATACATACAGAGAAAGAAATACCCGACTCTCCAGACATGCATTTTCTCCTTTGAGGTTGAACAAGGTAGCCTTCTTTTTCAGAAGAATAAGTTGTGTTTTTTTTGGCATTCTATTTAGAAAGCTTTTCATATTATGTGAGCTTTTAATATATTATAGCAGATAATTTTCATACAAAATGAATAAAATACAATTCATTGCAAATTTTGTGTTAATCAAACAATGTGTACCAAGTACAGGCTCACACCTGTAATTCTAGCTACTCAGGAGGCTGAGATCTGAGGATCGTGGTTCAGAGTCAGCCTGGGCAGGAAAGTCTGTGGGACTCTTATCTCCAGTTAACCACCAGAAAACCAGAAGTGGCACTGTGACTCAAAAGGTAGAGCGCTTGCCTTGAACTGAAGAGCTGAGGAACAGCACCCAGGCTCAGAGTTCAAACCCCACAACTGACAAAAAAATTGAAAAAAAAAAAAGCTGAAAAAATTGTTGCTATTATAAAGGTGATGTACAGAGGAGTTACCTTTACATAAGCCAGGTAACTTTTTGGACAAGATCATCTCTTCCCTCACTCTCTCCTAATTTTTCCCTCCTGTCCCCACCCACAAGTTGTATAGTTCATTTCAATGTAATATTTACTGTTTACCACTGCTGCATTTGTTCATCCTTTGTCCCTCAATTTCTTTAAACAGAATCATGCATTATACAAATTTCTCTATTGACTAGACTACTGTGCATAGAGTTTATAGCTACGTTAGCATATATTTCCTGTTAGTACTTCCTCTCAGTATTTCTTTGTCAGTACTTACTAAATTTGTATTTGCTACATGTTTGTAGGAATATTCAGTGAATAAAAAGATGGATATGCAGAAGGATGAGGAGAAGGGGGAAGGAAAAAAAAGACAGAAAATACAGTAAATATGTATGACGTAAATATGCATGAAGACAGCATTAGAAATTTCATTGAAAATTATTGATCTATAGGGAATTGGGAAAGAAAAAACAATAGACAGGGAAAGAAGGTAGTAGAGAGGATTATTCTGAGAAAATCATTTTATATACATCTGAAATATCATAGTGAAACCCCTTGGTGAAATTAATGCATATTTAAAAATATATTAATGTATATTATATATTTTTAAAAATGTATATTAATAAATTATAAAAATGAGCTGACTGCTGGTGGCTCATATCTTTAATCTGAGCACTGATATCTGAGTATGGAGATTTGAAGCCAGCTCAGACAGGAAAGCCTGTAAGACTGTTATCTCCAGTTAAATAAATTAGAGATAATAAATGAATGAATGAATGAAATAGGAAATAAAATTTTAAAAGGCCAAAAGCTATGGTTTAAGTTGTAGAACTCTATTCTTGAGCATAAAAGCACTGGGG